AGTCCTACTTGTTGTTCTGCTTCCCCCTCTCAGAATCCGGAACTCCACCATCTCGTGGTCACTGCAGCCAAGCCTGCCCCCTACCTTCACATCCTCAACCAATTCTTCTTTATTTGCCAGCACAAGATCTAGTAGCGCTCCATTTCTTGTTGGCTCCTCCACCACCTGGGTCAGAAAGTTATCATCGATGTTCTTCAGGAACCTCCTGGACTGTGCTCACCTTGCCGTGTGGTCCTTCCAGTTGATATCAGGATAGTTGAAGTCTCCCATGAGAACCAGGGCCTGCGATTGTGAGGCTACATTTAGCTGTCTATAGAAGGCCTCATCCACTTCCTCGTCCTGATTGGGTGGCCTATAGTAAACGCCCACCACAGTGTCACCCATGCTGGCCTGCCCCTTAATTTTTACCCACAAGCTTTCAACTTGTTCTTCATCCACTCCCAGGTAGAGTTCTATACATTCCAGTTGCTCTTTTACATAGTGACTCCACCGCCTCGCCTCGTAGGCCTGTCTTTCCTGAAAAGCACATAGCCATCGATGGCAGTGTTCCAATCATGCGTGTTGTCCCACCATGTCTGTGTAATCGCAATGAGATCATGGCCCCGCAACCACATACAGAACTCCAGCTCTTCCTGCTTGTTCCCCATGCTGCGCGCATTGGTATAAAGGCATTTCAGTGAGCCAGTTGAGCACCTAGCTTTAAGTATAGGGGGTGTCATGTACTGCATATGGCAGTGTTGGGGAGGTGTTGGGGAGGTGTTGAGGAGATCCTAAAGTCAGAGCTCCAAAATGCTATATACCTCCTATCACTAGTCAGAACATATCCTGCATCTACATTCAGGATGTATGCCACCATTCTGAATAATTACAAGAAAAAGAGTGACTACAGGCTTCAATCTCAATCACAGAAAAATTAGTCTATTCAAAATACAAACAAATGAGCCTGGTATACAGTATTTTCAGTGATGGGAAGCCATGTTTACTAGTCAAACTCTAAAACATAAGTGCCTTTTTTTCCTGCCACCTGATTGTCACAATTTCACAACCACTTGTGTCTGCAGGTGCTAGAAATACATCTGTAAGTATATGATTGTAAGGTTTACATTTCCTCTGAAAATGATGTGTGCAAGTAATTTCTAATAATACTAAACCTGTGTCATCCCTTTGTGCAAAGATATCATCACATTATAGAATCCAGAGAAAATCCAGTTATGCTGAAACAGAAAAGGGAATGTAGGATGACAACTTCCTTAACCCATAGTATTAAGACTTATACAGTTCTTCAGACCAGAAGCTATTCCTGCATCTTAAGTAGCTACACTATTAGAAGTATTGAGGTGCCTTGAGCTAATTCTCAAAGCCAATGCCATATTTGCATCACAGATCACTTTTCATGTCTAGTCTGTACCAGCGCCAACTTTTCCTTCCTTTGTTGTCTCCTTCAATGCCTCCTACTAAAAAAGAAATCTAGAGGCTCTGGAAACTTTTGCCACTCCTGCTCCAAATGGATGGGCTTAGCTCTTTTCCCTCCAGATATTTCCCATGTACCTGTTGTGTATACACTTTCCACTTACCTGGGGGCTGGCTTCCAATTCAAAGAGTGTTAGGGAATGGTGCTGCCATCATGGTACCGCCTCTGGTGCACCGACCACCCTTTTCTCTTCTTGTGTTTGTGTCCTTCCAGTGATCCTGTATCTTTGCATGCCAAAGGCTTCTGGGACAGCAAATATTTGGGGAACAAGAATAATAATACTGGAATATTTTGAAGGAAGGAGGATTTGGAGAATAATTTATTTTCAGTCTTGGCATTCATATAGTAAGAAAAATTGCTTAAAAAGTGGTACTGTTCAATTACTTATTTGATACAGGTAGGTTTTCTTATATATTAACATTTTGAGAAGTAAACAATATAATGTGCCTCATTTGAGTCTGGGCTGTTAGGATGACACTGCTAAGACTGTGACACATACACTATACAGAAAGGCTTACAATAAGTTTGAGGATACGATCCCTTTAGAAAATCTTAAGACATAACTGCAAAGATGAAAGCTCTTTGGAAAGAATTAGGAATAACATAGCTAAGACAGCACAGCATAAATTGAATATTGTAGGATAAGATGATTACATGAATTACCTGCACACTCTGGAATCAAATCAATGGACAGCAGTTTGACTGCCGTGTCACTGAACCACTAATAATTTGCTTAAGCATTAGGCTAAAGAAGTAGTAAAAATGTGTATTCCAGACCATATAATTGCTTCTCAGAAGTAATGTGATATACTCAATACAGTGATTCTTTAGGGTCTTAAATTATCAAGATTATATAATAATTTATGGGTCTGAACTGAAAAGATGCTCTGCAGTGGAGGTTCAAATTGTTCTCTTTATATGATTCAGGAAGCATGGAATATATTAAGTTTGTGATTAATTCTTGACATCACAGTTAGTAGACCTGTACTTAGTCCACTTACATGAAGTAGATAATACTTGTTCAATTCAAACTTCACACCATAAGTAATAAAAGGCACAGATGAGAAGCCCCCTGCAGTTATGTTTAAGAGAGGAGGGGGAGGAAAAGCTTATAAGTAGCCTCAAGGTAGATAAATCAATGGTGTTGAATAATGACTAATGAAACATATAGGCAACAGAAAGTGGGTAGCCTGCACAAGATGTTTTAACATTTTTGTGTTTCTCAGTCCTGTGAATTCCTTCTTTTGTCTTTTTCAATTTTTGGCCTCTCAAGGCACAATCTGATCTGCTGTAAACCATGATAATTTAAGGACCAAAGAGGACCTATTCCGTCTTGTTATTATTTTGTTTGATACTGTGGAGAAAGGCAGAACTTTCCTACATGAAAGGCGAGTATAAACAGCAAGAGACAGCACAGTTCCAGTCTTTTTTGGATAAATATAACTTGTGGGTAACAACCTGGGTAATAAACTATGAGAGTATGGATTTAACACCAATGTCAGTGAGAAAACTGGTGTTTCCTATATTTTGGCAGGAGAAGCAACAGTACTATTTAAAAAAAAGTTTTTGACATGGGAATAAA